GAGCGCCGAGGGGAGCAGGCCCCCCCGGGCCTGAGGGGAGCGGGGCTGCCCCTCGCCGGCTCCGCGGCCCAGCTCAGCCGCCTCTCCCGTTCCTCCCCGCAGGAAGACGATGCTGAACGACCTGCTGCGCTTCGACGTGAAGGATTGCTCGTGGTGCAGGTGGGCTGCGCGGTGCTCGCCGGGCTCGCCCCTTCCCTGCCTGCCCGGCTGCTGGCAAGGCCGGGAGATGCTTCTTCCCTCAGCAGCTCGGGCCCAGGTGTAAAAGCTGGGGGCTCTACCGGAGCATCCAAGGGGAAGCATCACCACCCCCCCCCCCCAAGTGCTGTCACAGCTGACTTCTGGAAGCCTGCAGTGTGGCTGAGCTGTCAGGGATATGGAGTGCCCCCGCACAGCTCCTGTCTGTGAGGGGATGCTGGGCAGTACAGCGACGGACAGAGAGCCACGGGTTGCCACTGTTCAGACACCCTGTGAGAGTGCTGAAAGGATGCGTGGGGCGGAGGGACTGGGCTGCTGCAGCCCCTCAGGGCAGGAAAGATGCCAGGGGCGGCTCACAGATGTCTTTGCTTCGCTCCTTTGCTCTGGACTGTGCAGCCTGTTGTCTTACCTGTGCCTCACGTGCTATCTCTGTCAAGCAGATTTCAGCAGCGTTGTGTTTGTAGCCGTTTGTGCTTATAGTGTTAAGTCTGTCATAAAATCTTGGGCAGTATAATTAAGAAATCAAACCCACTGAAAACGCTCAAGAACAATAGAGTAACTTTTAACAATTGTTTCTTTTTTGAATCTGCACAATAGCTTTGAGTGCCTGAAGCATGACAAGGGTGTTTGATTGCTGCTGTTCTAAATGTCGTGCAGGGCTTTCACCACGGGGACCCCGCCAGCACCACGATACCACCACTCAGCTGTGGTCTATGGGAGCAGCATGTTTGTGTTTGGTAAGACAGTGGCAGATTACAGTTGTGCGCACTTGGAATGATAGATGTGCTGGTAGTATTGTTTTGAAAAAAGAATGAGATATTTTTAGGAAGTGTCGAAAGATCTTATACAGTAGCAAATCCAGTATTTTCCACAGCTGACCGTGATTTCTACTTTAGCATGGAAATACTTTGGCTGTTTTGTCTAAAGTAAAAAAGACTTGAAACATATTACCGTAGTGTAGGGTAGGGGTAGAGGAGAAGTCTCCCACCTGTAGTAGTCCATTAGCCAAATACCTTCCCTCTGTGCAGTCTAAACTTAAGTTTTCTTCTAATATAATGACTAGAAGCATGTATGCTGTATTGCATTTGAGTCGGATTTGTTGTTGCCCAGGTGGCTATACTGGAGACATTTATTCCAATTCCAACCTGAAGAATAAAAATGATCTCTTTGAATATAAGTTTGCAACTGGACAGTGGACAGAGTGGAAGACTGAAGGAAGGTAAGGAGCTGGCATCATTAGCCCACTCTTCAAGGGGATTTGAGTATAAGTCAGCAAACATTTAAAATGGCACAGTTAGAATTAGTTACAATGCTAATATTAAGGCTGCAGGACAATTTCTGCTCTACTTTCTTGATTAAAGTTTTCTGTATGTTTGAAGGAGTTTTTTTGCAAGGCCTCCATTCCAGGGTGTACTATATTAGAAATTTGACCAAAACCCATTCTTCATGTTTCATTTCTGTGACAGAAGGGATGGGAGCAAAGGAAAGTTTTTCTTTTGAATTGTTTATTTTTCAAGGATAGCACAAAATCTGTTAATCTCTCATAGTTTCAATTTAGTTTTATCAGAGACCAATTTGAAGCTTATTTGTCATTAAATCTAGACATTCTTTTCTGATTAAAGTTGGACTTTCTTGGAGCGCCTTGGCGCTTGAATTGCCAAATTCAATTGCCAAGGTGATGCGTGTGCACACAAATAAATTCAGAAGCAGATGAATGAGTTGATGATGTATCTTGGGATCTGTTGAACACAGGTTCCCGAGATTCAGCTTTCCAAGGCAAAATCAAAAGCAGTAACACATTACTTCTTAAAGTCGACTTTGTGCACGTTTCAGGATGTTACCCGTGACACTGATTTTGACCCAACCACTTAATGTTTACCACAGCCATGTATGGGACATACTGTGTCTTTACCCACAGTTCATTACGCATTTGAAGTTTCTGAAGTGCTGAATTTAGTGGGGAGAGGGAAGGGAACATTTCTTATTGTGATTTGTAGAAAGGGATGGGAATGCACAATCTATTCTTAAGTTACTGTTGCTCACCTCTGATGAACATATGTTATGTTTTAGAACATAGACCACATTATAAATTTCTCTTTCTGGTTAATCTAACAACTTCAGACATTTTGGAGAGTAATTCTCATTCATATTTTATGAACTCAAATGTCCTTTTCTTTCCCCACAGTTACAAGTGCATACTGCACAAATGACCTCAGAAAAGCTAACGTTACATCTCCTGGCCTTGTGGCATCACAGTTTTGTTCAACGCTTCTTGGCTGATTTAGTAAAAACAACAAAGATTGGGAAAGAGAAATCATAGGTTTGATCTTTTATTGTGGGCAGTGCATCTCAGGAACACCTCACTAAACAATCCTAAATAAGCATTGTGAGCTCTGTCCTGGCTCTTGTTTAAGTGTTCCACCTTCTCAGTGTGTGAAAACATGCACGGGATTTTTATAGCACAAGTGGATTGCTACTTTGCTATAATGATAGTGCTATTAATTGTCCCGCTATTTAGCTACTATCCATAAAATAATTTAAGAGTATTTGAGGCCTGGCAAGGAATTAGTTGGGATTTTTTTTTTTTCTTTTCTTTTTCTGTATGCATTAAGGTAATTTTTCTCTAATGAGGGAAGCAGAGTGTAAAATTCTAAAATGTACCCTTCAGAGGCTTGCTTTATGTTTTGAGGATGTATGACAGAAGCAATTTCGTGGCTTGAAGCCATTTTGTGTAGGGGACATCATTCTTCTTACATGTGCATTTTAGCTGTCACACAGATCCTTCTTACAGCACCTCTGCCGGTGATTTAAGAATATTTTTTTTTCTTAATTTTCTGAATTGTAGATTGCCAGTTGCTAGGTCAGCTCATGGCGCAACAGTGTATAGTGACAAGCTGTGGATCTTTGCAGGATATGATGGCAATGCACGGTATGTAGTGGGATCGTTCTCTCCTTGGGTGCTTCTGTAAAATCCCACTCCCTCACTTTTCACCTCTTTAGAGACGTTTTCATATACTAAGTGATTTAAACACATAACTGGAGCTTTGCAAAACCCAGCCTGTTGTTGAGCATTACATTTTTGCAATTCACCAGTTCATGTTCAAGTAAGTATGTGTTTAAAACCTAAAAATCTGGTGATTCAGAATGGCTGTGGATATATAATTTGACAGCCTTCTTGGCTGTAAAGATGCTAAACAATTTTTGAAATTTGGCAAATGAGCATTTCTCAAAAGATATCCGCCACAGGCCTTCTGATGTTGCTGAAGACTTACAGAGCAAAGCCTAGATTTTCTGTGAAGTCGTGTGACAGAACTAAGAGCAACATGTTAGCTTTTTCCCTGAAAATACGTGATATTATTTAGGTTGAGGGGAGATGAGATTTTGGATGGGAAAAGACTGGAAATGTGTGGTACTGAGAAGTTAGGGAGAGTCTGGTGCTTTGTCCGAGATGGCAGCTCTTTGCTTTTGCTATTAGTCTATCAGGGAAGAATCAATTCTGCACGCGTAATTTTTTTCTGTCCTGATGAACTTGTGAATTTTATGTTGATGCACAGTATTTGCATTGTGAGAGCATATAGAGATTGTCACAAACTAGGAGCTGTCTCAATGTCCTGGGTTGCCTCCTCTTCTGAGGAGGATCTGCAGAAAAGTTACCAGCTCCTCAAAGTCTGCAGGAGAACTGCTGTTAATTGGAAAAACAGATGGGATTTTTTTATTTTATTTCTGGAAGAAGAATTGGAGAAAGATGCATGACTCTCTGGCACTGCTCAGTTCCAGCTTAGGAGTTCCCCAAGGACCTTGGGTAGCTGGAAGGAGGGATTGGGTGAGAGGAGCTGTCTAATTTATGTTAAATATGCCTAATCACATTAAAAAAAGTCTTTTTGTGGAACATGAGCCTCCAGGCAGATTTAAACAAAGGAAGCATCTGTAGTTACTGTGAGTAACTTGTACTGGGAAAAGCATAGTCGGATATGTAGTAGTCAGTGATGTGTCAGGTTACCCACTTCGTCCTCTTTTACGTATTTAAGGTAGGATTCAGCCACATAAATAATTACTGTGGCCAGTCTCAGGGGTTAGCAGGGACGGGTAGAAGAAGGCAGGGTAACAAGGGGTATTTCTGTAAAAATCCTGGAGATTAAATAGCCTCAAATCCTTAAGCTCCAAGCAGAGTTGATGTGTGTAACAGTTAACTGTAGTATACTTGTATACTTGTAACCGGAAGGATGCTAAAGCAAGCTGAGGTCGTGGTATAAAATTTAGGTATAGGACAAAAATATTCAAATAGGTTTTTTATCTACTAGTGGAAGTAGAAGATTCTTCCTGTGCAGGAGAAGGAATGCTGATAAAATAGCATCTCTGTCCTTTCAACTCCATGAGCTAAAAATTACCAAAAATGAACTGTTTCAAATCAAGCGGTTTTTGTGTTATAACATAGGTTAAATGATATGTGGACAATTGGCCTACAGGATAGAGAGCTAACATGCTGGGAAGAGGTAAGAAGCTTTAATTTCAACTAACATAGAATTTTCTTTTTTGGTTTTCATACACAATTATTTAAAATTTCCTATGCTGGACTGCACTGCTCTCCCTTCAGAATGTATTTGTCACACAGATGAAAAGAAACAGTTCAAATTTGATTTTGTTTGTGTATTTGGAAAACCAAGTGTATATTAAAGTGTGATTTTTGCTTATGAATCTGTGAGCTAGTCCTAGACTGCCCATGGTGGCTCTGCTGTGCCCCCTATAAAAACAGACTGCATTTCCCACTTTAACTACTGCCATAGACTGGGAGCTTTGCTGACTGGCTATCAAGATCAGAGTCCTGATCCTCATAGTATCAGGGGCTTTAGAAATGTGGCCTCCCATCCTTTTTATCCACAGTAGAATTAGTCCGTGCAGACGTGTAAGCACAGCATTAGTTGATTACCCGTAGCCAGATTTATAGGGACTTGATTGTCTGCACACATCGCTGCCATGTGGTCTGTCTGTCTGCTGATGTATTGCGTGGTCCTGCAGCATACTCAACATGCGTAGTGCACTACAATAATACATTTTTAATTTTGAACTTTGTTATATTTCAGATTGAACAAAGTGGTGAAATTCCTCCTTCATGCTGTAATTTTCCCGTGGCTGTTTGCAAAGACAAGATGTTTGTTTTCTCTGGCCAGAGTGGAGCAAAAATTACCAATAATCTCTTTCAGTTTGAATTCAAGGAAAAGATGTAAGTGTAGCCAGTTAAATCGCACAAAATCCACATAATCCTTGACAACTTGAGTTGAGAAATGCACAGACTTAAGGATATTGAGGAGGAATACTGCATCTCATGACGAGGAAGGGTAGATAAGATAAAATATGGACTGTTTTAAATAAGACTTTGTTGTTTGCCATGTGCATCAGATAGGTCTTTTTCAGCAGATGAACGAAGTTTAGTAGATTGACTTTAAACAATAAGCATGAATCTTAGTGTATTCCGAGTGGGATGCCAAATACTACCTCCCTAAAAGTTGTTATGTGAATCTCTGGTTAAAACCAGCCAGAGGTCCTGTGAAATACCAGTTCATAGCGAAATTATTGGGAAATGTAAAATGCATGGTATTTTTTTTAACTCTTGAGTATTCAGTTTGGTGTGACTTGACTCAGAGTGTCGACCATTGCTCTGAAAATGTGGCCACTCTGATGGGATAAAAATGCGAAAAAGTGAGAATACAGATGCACTGGTTTGTTCTGACAACCTGGTTGGTCTGGTTACTGGCTGAAGTGGAACCACAACTGAAACAACACCTAATGGCCTCCAGACCTTGGCTGAAATCATGCTACCATAGTGAATAAGCGATGCCTTATCAAAATGGGATATGGTATCAGAATGGTGCCCTTTACTTAGAAAGGTTAGCTGTTAAGATGTGTATTAGTAGATCACCAATTCCTTCCTGAGTTGTGGTCTTTGAGCTGCTGGGGTTTACATAAGTACATCTGGGTTACGGAACCATGTTGCCTTTATCACATTTTCAGCTAGAAGTTCGGCAACACAGAGCTGACGTAGGTCTCTGAGAAATCTGCAGGATTAATCATCATCTGAGCTCATGCAGGTTGAATAACTACTGTAACAGAGCTCCTCTTCTTTATTCTTACAACCTGAGAGTTAGGAAACTTACTTTGCAGAAAATAATTGTAAAAAACCACACTGTTTCATGTTTAATGTCTCAGTTGGACACGAATTCCTACCGAGCACTTACTTCGAGGCTCCCCTCCTCCTCCACAGCGAAGATACGGCCACACAATGGTTGCATTCGACCGGCATCTCTACGTGTTTGGTGGTGCTGCAGATAACACGCTGCCCAATGAGCTTCACTGCTATGACGTGGACTCTCAGACCTGGGAAGTTATCCAGCCCAGCCCAGACAGTGAGGTAAAATGTTCAGCTTGTGTTTTTTCCTTTTACGTTCTGTCTTTTTTGGGCCCATTTTTGCTGTCAGACTTTGTACATGTTTTTGACAAGCACATTAACTTTTAGATAAATAGCGATAGCTCCTTCCCACCAATGGTTAAGCATCTGAAATGTTGTGGGCAACAGTCTTTAAAAATTAGTCAGTGTTGACACGTTTAAAACTTTGCTTAGTACTGTTTAAAGAAATACTGTAAAACACTTGTAATTCAAGTTATGAGTCAGTCCTTATCTGACAAGGATTAGTAATTAATTCACTGTGTGGACCAGTGGTTGTGAGCTTGGCTGTGTGATGCTCTTGAGGCAGAATTCAAAATTAGACAAGGTTTTGATTGTTTCACTGTAATAATGCCTGTGTGTGTAAAATCTTAGAAATTCTGTAATTATACAGAATAGCACTTCCCTTTTAGGTCAAGTGTAAAGCATTTGCTTATAAAGGTATGACTGTAGAATAATAACAGAGATCATAGGGAGAAATGGCTTTTTTGAACGTATTTGTGTTAATAAGATAAATAAATTAAAAAACGTAGGTTCTTTACATGAACATAAAAAGGCAGTAGACCACCGAGGGCCAAGTAAACACCTGAAATGAGAAAATATGAAAATAAAAAAGATGATGAACATGTTAATATCTTTCTTTTGGGGTGCTCATTACGATGCAGTGATTGTGTGATAAAATTTTGATTTTCTTCATAGCGCACTCATAGATACCATCTCTGGGATAACCTGGTATTTCGAGTTGGAGTGCTGAGGGTTTGAATGGCTTCCATACACATTTCAGTGAATGTGGTTTCAGTGGCCTCTGATCATTTCATTCCCAGAATGCACAAAAAAGTAGGTTTCTTGAAGCCTGTACTAATACGTCTGTTCCTGGATTTAGAATGGATACGTTGGCTGTATTTGTTCATTGTAATAGATTTTACCTTAAGCCATGTTAAAATACTTCAGCTGATTTAATAGTAGGTTTAGTGTGTTAGCTGATCTGTGGGGAAGAAATACTTGATGTTTGTGTGCTGTATAGAGAGCTGCAGAGATTAAGGTTATACCTTAAAGAGATGAATGTTACATGAATTAGGATCAAATGCAGATTTACTAATTTTGCCAGAATTGGTATGACAGAGCTGCTCCTGTCCTTGACTCTTGCACTACATTTTAGTTTGTTTGCAAAGACACATGACTTAGCATTTGGTGAATAGGAAAATACCCTTTACGCACTGCTTTTAAAGCAACAATGCATGTGGGCCACATTTTGAAAAATTATTTGACCAAAATATTTCATGGTAGCCTATTTGGGCTTTACCAAGCTGATTTATTTTCACATGACATTGATAAAACTGCATCTCCAACATTTTAAGCATACAGTTGCCTTCAGGGATGTAGATGCCGTTCCGTTCCTACTAACACTATCATTTGACTTAAGGCTTTCTCTGTCATTGGTTCTTCATGATACGATTGCTTATTGCTTTCAAGAGCAAAACTGCTCCTGACGGTGCTGTAAAACAGCATTGTTACCTGACTTATCCCCTGCTAAATTTCTTTTCATATTTCAGAGCTCTTCTCTTGGGCTGTTTGTAATCCCAGGCAGGTGTCTCTCTAAGTTGCACGTATTGTATTTTGAAGTTTCTTTCACAGTTATGGCATCTAGAGACTAATTTTGTAGAAGTGGGAAGTGAGATTAAAGCACTGTTGAAACATGTGATAGTAAATTTTCTTAAAAGACTGGTTAACTGCAAGATCTGAGAGACAGTTGGAATTTTCAGTAAGTTTTAAATGATTTTGTGCGTTCTGGAGTGATAACTAGATCTCAGAATTGTTTTCTTGAAGTTTCTATGAGCTTTTGGCAAAGACTTTTAACAGTGGCAATGAATCTCTAATACTATTCTCAGGACAGTCTGAACTTGAAATTTCCTTTCTTATCCATGTCTGTGAACAAAATTTTCCACATTAAGTTGAAACAAAGTAGAAGATGATGAGTGCAGTGCTGTCCCAGCACTTGAAGGATTCTTCTTGTGTGTGAAGTGATGGTGACCTCTGTTACCACGCAGCAGAATAATCTATCTTGGCTTTTGATAGAGTTGGGTTTTTTTTTTCTTTGTCTAATGGATGGATTGTATAGCATATGTTGTTCTTGTATTTTTCTGTATTATGTTATATGATCTTAGAAATGCTGCATTACAACTTCACTTAACAGCACTATAGCTAGATTAACTTTCATACTTATTATCATGTGATGAATTTCCTTAATTCTTTCTTATTTTGGACATTTAGCATTGAGTGGGTAAAGCCTCCAGAGTCCAAAATAAGAAGGCTTGGTGCTGATTTAGCTTAATTCAGTAGTGATTTTTACCGTGCTTTGCCAAAGAGATTTCTTATACTCATGCTGAAGGAGAGTGACTGCTGCCATTCCAGTCTTTCTTATTCTCTGAACTAAGACTAAGCGAGCCCTGAGAAGCTTTTGAGAGTGATCCAGATAGTGATTTGGACTTTTCAGACCTATGCGTGCCAGTAATAGAAACAGGCTGTCAGGTGGAAATGGTATTTGCCCCTGCTACCCTGTTGTGGGCAATGTGGAAGGTGACAAGTCACATGAGACTGAAGAATCTTGAGGTTTTTACCTGGAGAAGGTAGCACAATTTGAGCATTAGTAACAGTGGTGCAGGGTGAGTGCCGGGAAGGTTGTAGAAACAGTTCTGGAGGACTGTAGGTGCACTGAGACAGTCTTGCATTTTCTGCATTTTGGGTAAATAGGTAGAAACAAAAACTGGAAACGAGTCTGGCAATGGACCTGTTCTAGTTCTCTGCCCAGGTCTCTTGAAATTGTTGACAGTGCCTCACTGTGACATGGAGGATGGGAAAACGGCTTAATAAGTAGAAGAGGGGAAACTAAAGTGGAACAGGTCGGAACTTCAAAAATAAACCAGGAACTCCTATTTTTATGCTTTTAGGATGTCTCCAAAATGAATATCAAGACATGCTTTCTGAACTGCACATTTGCAGTCCATAGCTCCTCATACCTTTGTCTTGATGCTCTAATATATGTACATATATATTTTACAGAGCACAGAGCTATTCTTCCTATCTTTACTGTTAGATGATCTTCACAGCTGGGGGTTCTACTTTTCTAAGGCAGCCAGAGGTATATCATGTCTGAGTCCCTGCCTGCCTGCATAACACTGCCAAAGCTTCCTGAGGTGCTTTATTTCCTTTACACAGGGCTATCAGAAGATTTAAAAAAGAATTTAAATAGATTTTTTTTATTGGCCTCGGATTTTCCTATTGAACTCAAAACACCCTTGGGTTTCTGAAGAAGGTTGGAACAGCATAAAAAATCAGCAGGCAATAAGAGGGAAGATGCCCCATCTTGCACAGTTGCTTTCCAGCAGACAGACAGACACACACATGCATGCGGCAGTCTTGGTTTGTGCTACAGCAGAGGAGTGTTTTGCAGGGAATGACAGAGGAGCTCAAGGTCTGGGAGGGGCGCATGTCCATTTGTGGACACAGTCCTGCAGAATCAAAAGTGATGTTTAGAAACAGCCACTGCCTCATAGAGGACAAAGTGTCATAGGAAGAAGACAAAAATTTTCCTTCCTTGCAATGCTTAAAGAAGGTCAGTGCATAGGATAGTTAAACTGTCTGTGGATTGTTCCCCTGTTACCAGGTGAATTACCATCATCTCCCCAGTAACTGCAGGTACTAGCAAGCAGTCTGTCGTTCCTGAAGGTACAAGAGAAACCTCTAAAACTTGGCCTGTGAAACATTTCAGTCTCACAATTAGGCCTTTGAAAGGCAAGAGCAATAAAAATTTCTGACTTTCAAAGCTCTTGATTTTTCTTTTAATAAGCAAAAAGGGTAACCTTCTCTGGCTTACTTTGAGGCACAGTTCTGGAGTTTTTCAGATGGATTACAGTGACGTGGTTTGTGGGCAGCTAAGAAAGATTAAAAGGACTTACTCATCCTACTGTGGATGAGTCTGCCACAGTCTCCCTGTGCAGAGATCAGTTACACCCACTGAGGTATCTTCAGGCAAAAGAAACATGTTATTATGTGAACAAAACCCTGAATTCCTGCAATGAGGCCCCAACAAGATCTGCCTTCAGATGTGGTGAGTGTAGTTGTCAGGGTATCATGTTCTGCTAGGAGAGATAAAATTTAGCATTTCACAGTCCAAAGAGAAGACTGATACTTTTTATGTTTATAAATCATAGGTAGTGTTCAGACTTGTATCCTTTTTAGAAAATGTTTTTTAAAAATTTAAGATCTTTGTACCAGTGACCTTTTCATGTTTGTGCTCAGTAAGCTGGAGACATCTTGAAAATGTTAGCATTTATAAAAACCTGGTTATCAGAGTAGCTGTGGTTAAGATTGTTGCACAGCTCCATTTCTGTTTGTCAAGTCTACATTCATATCCCTTCTGAGGGATGTTTATTACATGCTTTTACAGAATTCTCCCACAGAAGACAAAATGCAGGCTTATGTGGATGATAGGCAGAAGGAATGTATTTCTGTAGCTCGCTCACCAGTAAGAAGTTAGAACAATACAGTATTAATATGACTCACATTAAATGGGTATAAAGTTGGATAACTGAAGGTTATGAAATATGGTTTTGAATGAGGAGTAGTTACTCTGCTTAGGTCCTTTAGGGACTGGTTCTTGTCATTGCATTGCTATAAACTTTTGTCAACAACCTTGAAAGAAAACAGAAATCACAGCTTTCCCCTAATATTTATTAATTGTCCAGATTGTTGCCAATTAATGATTAAAATAGCTGTCCACTCAGAGTGATTTGGATTTCTTCTTAAGGTGGGCACAAACAATATTTATTTCAGTATGTATGTAAAGCAATACATCTAAGAACAGGGTGTGTGGTCAATGTTTAATAGTTTCCCTTACATTATCCCTGGAAACAATGACTTAAAAACCTTAGTCATTGTGGGTAGCTGAGACAAGCTCCCTGTAATGT